CAACTGTCGTAGAGACGTCTCTAATTGGCTTATCCTTTCACTCTGTGGTTATACCATCTCTTTGTTAATCTTTTCCAGTTCCATTAGACGGTCATCCTGGTTCTGCAAAGCTGCCTTCATTTCTATTATTTCCTCCTTGACAGTAGTCCGCGTTTCCTCTAGCTTCTTCTCTAATGTAGCAAGCCTCTCACTCAGTGAGTTTTCTAATTTTTGTATAAGACTCGAAAATAGGTCTCTAAGGTCCTTATTCATCACCTTGCGCACTGGCTTTTTCTTTTTCTTTCTCCTTATTTCCTGTTCCTGGCATCTTATTTCCTGAACTTTCCGAATTTCCTCGAAGAAAAGTATGGTCCCTCCGCCCGGTGCATCCAGTGATATGCAGCAACCCTAAATCTTGCACAAACGCAAACCACACCTACTTGGGGACCCGACCAGAGCACATTACATTCAATATACCACGGCCCACACACTAAACCTCTACGATAAGACCCTCAGCCCTCGTTCCCGCTTTACGCCATGTGCGTCGCCACACCGGAAGTCATATAGTTGGAATTTTAGAGTAAAGAATATCTAAGTGGTTTTACCACTTTGGTAAAAAATGCATATGCTTGGTGCTACATGAAAATACTTTAACTAAGAAACTCTACCATATGAAAACCAGGAGTAAAGGGAATTCCCCTTTTAATTAATTGCCTATTTTAAGATAACTGAATTTGAAGAGAATAATGTCAATTATATCAAAACGACCGATGCAGATCCGACTTTTATGATTATCATTTTCAAAAAGTGTCCCAACCAATTATTACATTTTCAACAAAAAATCATTTTTTTTTTGTTGTGTAAAAATGATATGCTGTCAAAGTGTAAAAAGGACATCAAAATCATATCCTTTCATGCTGTGGCAAATATTTGAAGAACGGTTTTACAATGTTTTAAATCTTCAAATCACTTAGCTATGACGGATCTACAAATCAATACTTACGATATGATGCAAACAAAATATTGAATGTTTTTTATTCATGTAGCTTTTTACTTGGTTCATTGTTTTAAACATTTGAAGATTTGGTTTTTTACAATAACTGAGAGATGATTTAAAAAGAAATACATATATAAATTGAAGCCGAGAACAAGTTTTCCTCAATTTCTCACCAGAAGGCGTATTACGATTCGCTACAAGATAAATGATAATATAATTCTGGGCAGAGAATGAGGCTTTTTGTGAAGTTTGTTTAAGTAGTAGCAGAGGATAGTTTCGTACTCATGGCCTGCCAAATTTCATACAGATCTAAGATATTCCCTGTTTGATGTGATATTTTATGTAAAAAAAAATATGGGACACATTTGCAGACACAGCGAGCTTGCCGAAAAGAAAAATAATGTGCAACATGTAGGTTCATCACTCTGATGTTTAGCATATACAGAATTGTAAATGCCAAACTAAGACACCTGGGCAGTGGCAGAGGAAACTCAGTTTAAAAGCAGTAGGCCTTCGAAAAAAGTGTGCATCTCAGATGGAAGGTGAATGACCAAATATAAATTGGTGAAATCTCAACAGGGCTTAGAAAGATTTACAGACTATACTGGATGTTTCATCCTGCTGGCTTGGACCTGGGGGTGGGCTTTAAAAGTACGACTGGGGCCAAGTCTCGAAAAAACAAGCCGAAATTTAGGTGCATTTTTGGTACACGTGCACTCTTATAGGCAGATTACATGTTAATTGTTAACTTAATTTGTGAGCCATGGGCATATGTAATTTAAGCAAATAGTCCCTGGAAAACTGACCCCATATACATGTTTTTATGGATCACTGTATATGTGTACCCCTCGGAATATATTTGGCATTAAAAAAACATGCCCTGTTAGCTAAATGATCAATGTTCTACGTGATGATATATATCTTTATCGGATATCGTCTGTAGACATTTAACTGATTCTTTATTTGGCTTCGGTCCACTTGATGCCATTTACCCATACCAATAAAACCGTACAAGGTAATACTTATGCTCTTTCATCGTTCTTTTAATCAATTGGCGTGGATGATAAAGCTGACCTCTGAAAGAAGAAAAAAAGGTACTGTCCGGTTGCAAGGTGTTAACGATTTGATTTTTTTTTCGTTTTAAAATCGTTGCTTTTTTTAATTTTATAAAATTATATATATCTATTGAGCAATTAATGCTACAGACCTGTCTATTATTTTTACGTAATTCTTCAAAAATACTTAATACGTATGGGTATAATAAGCATCTGTTAGTTTGCAGAGCGTCGAACGTTAGTGATCCATACTTTCAAGACCGACATCGCTAAAGTTGTTTGCACGTTGTAACGTTTTTATTGTGGCACTCAGTTTATGTCATGCAGTGGATCAAGTCGCTGCTAAATCGTAAACACATAGTAGACAGTCATACTTTGCAATTTATTAGATTTAATGGAACAAGATTCCTATAGGACACAAGGCTCACATGAATTACTTTAGTTATGCTGTTTTTCACCAGAATTTCCCCCTCGTACATTGTAATACCCCAAGGGGTTTATGATTTTAACAAGCTAAAGTCTGCAAAACCCACAGGAAACTTCCACATAAGTTTCTACAATGACTTTCAGAGTGAAAACTTTTTTTTCTGTTTAAAAGCCCCGCCTACTCCTTGGTTTCACGGTTTGAACAATTTTAAACTAACACTACCCAAGGATGCTTCAATATAACATTCTGCTTTAATGGCCTCGTGTTTCATGAGAGGATTTTTAAAAAGTTTTTCTACTGATTTCAATTAAAAACTTGTTTTCCTTTTTATGACAAGACTTTGCCCCAAGGTTCAAAATTTGAACAATTTAGACTTACATGTATATGTGTATCACTACCATAGGGATGCTGACACATAATTTTCAGCTTTTCTGGTCCTGTAACTCTTGAGAAGACGATTTTTGAAAAATGTTATACCCCAGGATCAAAAGATCACTGGGTATATTGTTTTTGGGTTTTTGTCTACTTTTCAGTCTGTCTGTTTTCAATGTTAACCTTGCCAGTAACTACTGTGTTTTCATCAATATTCGTTGCGCACCAACTTTCGCGGAATTCGTTGCAGAACAAATCCAAGAAATTTAGTGGTTTTTGAATTTAGAAATGTGTTATTCATTCGTATAGACAATGATATCGTCCATGAAATTACGTATCCTGGAAAAGGTCTGTTTAACAAAATCCATGAAAATTGTTTGCAACGAAAATTGATAAAGACACAGTATTGGGTGATTGAGACTATGCCTTAGCTATTTCACCCTGTCAGGTGTCTTCCTTGCTACAAGACTTTTTGGGTACCATCGAATTTGACCCTTTTAACTTGACCTACTTTTACAAAAAAAAATACACATTGACCTTTGCCATAACTTTTGAACAATTGGAGCAAGGGCTGTCATACGTCACAGGTGTATTTATTGTGACAATACATTTTAGCTGGTATAAATATTTCTTACCTTGACCTAAGACTTTGACTAACATTAAAAACATTTATCTTAGTCAGTACTTTTGAACAGTTAGAACTAGGGCTCTCATATATCAAAGGTATTTTCCTTGTAACAACTTTCCTTTGGGTACCAACACTTTTTACCATGACCTTTGGAGTATGAAATGCATTTGAGAGGATGCAACCCTCGCAATAAGCTGCCATAAGGGAACATTATTGATTCACAAACACATCTTGTTTCTATTAATTTCAATGAAAACCTGATTTCCCTACTATATGCCCGTCTACCCCTAGGATTTATTTAGATTCTATGCTAACCCAGGATTCTTTTACATTAGATATAGCTTTTCTGATTCTTGAAAAGATAATTTTTTTTTTAATTATGCCAACCTTTTTTTGTTGATTATCTCTACTTTTAATTGAGTTTAATAGAATTTAAACTCCCCTTTCATTGCCCATGGATAATGTTAACTTCCTTTGATTTGCTTAAAATTGGCCCAGTGGATTGGGGGAAGAAGAAGTTAAAAATATTTTTAAAAAAAAACGTACAGACAGGCGGAGGACGAACATTAGGTGATCAGAGCTTTTATTTCAAGTGAACTACAACATTGTCACAAATTGAGAAGTGCCTTTTGAACAACGAAGTCTTCCGACTTTTTTTAAAGATAAGTACTATTACGGCATTCGCAAGTATAACAACCATCGACAGAGTAACAAACGGTAGGAGGTACTCGTAAACTGTTACGGGACAATCGAGGATGAATACGAGATTAATGTCAAACCCTCATAGAAAGCTGTAGAGCTGCTAAATGTACTTCACATCAATGATGGAGTAGTGATAGTCGTTTACAATAGTCTAAAGATGTCAAGGTTGTCATTTGTTGACATTAACCGTTTTACAGAAAAATCGGTTGCAGTCAATCAGTTTGCTTTTTTTCGGCTCATCCCAAATCTTCCTGTCAATATATATTTGCTTGATCGTGTGTTATATTGTCATGTGAGGAGTACAGTCACTGGCATTGGAGTAAACTAAAGATTAAAGATGTAATAATCTTTAAAAAAAAACATTTTTCACATGGTTGACTACAATCGCCTCTAGTGTCTTTATTTTCCTGCTAAACTTTACTACTACTATGGTCTTTGGGGTAGTTTTTTTTTAGTGTTTTTTGTGGCAAATCATATGTTTTATCAGATACAAAGAGATGTCCGTTATTCTTTCTATGCGACGGTGGAAGAGCATACCCATTATGTTTATGTTAAATATGTTCATATTATACAAATATCGAACTTTCATTTGGTCGAATCATAGATATATCGACTTTACACAAAAGCATATCGACCAAGCATGAATTGACCGAATGAGAGAATCAATTTGTTATTCTAGGGCAAAAATCAGAATAGATAAAAGTACAAATATATCAAATTTTGTGAAGACCTTTCAGTTATTGAAAAATTTTATTGCAGTTGTGACAGCAGAGTTAGCATTTTTTTCTTACACTTATATAAGTTTTTTGTTAAAGGCTGTACTTTATATAACACAATAATCTAAAAATAAATTTCATACGTAACACACTACTTTTATGATAGAAATGTGCACTACTCAAGATCGTGCATCCATGTGCATTCCAATTAACATTGACGTGTTTCTAGAACATAAACAGATCTGCGAAGGTTATTTTTTCAAGTGGTAACACTATATGGGTAAGAAATTGTACTGAAATTTCCATTTTAATTATACTAAAATAATGTACATGTGAAAAAGTATGTTCAGCGTCATGATTTATGTGAAAACACACTCTGTGTGAATGTTTTCTTCTTTCATTTTCAGTTTGTTTTCGGAGAATATTCAAGCACCTCCTTAAATTGTAAACAGTTTGATTTTAAGAACTACCTTGCAGTCTAAGGTAAGATAATTAGTATTACAGGTGTGAAAAAACTATTGTGTGTTCTACATGACTGTATGTCCGATTATAAAAACTTTTCTTTTGTCATTTTTTTTTCAAAAAGGTGGGCGTACACAAAATTTTTACACATGCATATAGAATAAACGTTGATTAATTAGAAGGATAAGATTCGGTAGCTCTATCATGTCTAAGTGTTAAGCAAAAAAGAGGGAAAGTTCATCAAAAATCGATAAAATGTTCAAGGGCAGCTGTTCCTTACAGGTAGTATTGTCTTGAAGAAAGATTTTAAAGACATTTTAAAATAAATTCATTTCTTTTTTAACCTTGGTAAAATGACTTACTTGTGTTCTTTTTTGAATTCCGTGCAATCCATATTTTTAAAAAACCAAACTAACTAATAAATAACTAATAAGTTCCACTAGATAAGAAAATACACACCATTAAATCTTTTTAAAATCTTTTTCTAGCACAAAGAATTGATAACAGGATAAAAACTGAAGCTCAGATCTAACAATGTTCATTAAAAATGCAATGCCCTAAAATGTTTAACGCAATTGCTGAGAAATAATAAAAAAAATTCATTTTTGCGAAAATGAAATTATTAATCTATGTATCTTATTTAAAAAGTCACATTTCTGTTAATAATTCAATTCTTTTTTGGCACTAAATCACATATTATACAGAGATGTGTAGTTAGCTATATAAAACAAAATATTAATCTGTAGCAAGTTTGTTTCTTAAGAACCCTCTCTAAACTGCACACCAAAGAGTTCTGATTCTAAGGTATTTTTCTGGAGTATGAGTGAGAAATCTAGAAATTTACACAATGTTACTCAATTATGTAATCAATTCAAGTATTCTCAACATTTTAAAAGAAAAAATTAAATTATCTGAATGTGTTATTTACATGCATTTTCGCTATTGAAGTAATTAACAGTGATTTCTATTCATTGATACTGTGTTGTCTTTGAACATTTTTATTCCTGGGGGTAAATGCCACGCATCATACATTGAAAACTAGATAAATAAGCTCAATATTAACTCCTTTTTAAAATATAGATTTTTCTCAATGTCCAAAAAAATTGCTCTTGTGTAGATTACATTAAGACAGTGTCTGTTTTATAGACAAATTTGTTCTGTAGATATGCAATTCTTTGGATTAAGCAAACAAGAAAAAGTCTTAAGATCTAGTTTCCTTGAATAATTTTTCATAGGTTTTCGTCTTCAACAATAGTTTTACAATGGAAACAAAATATATTACCTTTAGAAATGACAGGATTAAAATACCTAGCTGTTTCTATATACGAGGGTCATTACTAAAATTTCGAGGACGATTTCCCCGTCCTCATATCATTCTTAACAGATTATAGATCAAAACATTTTTGTACATAATAACATTTACTTTGTCAAAGTTTGAAGTTCAATTTAATTTGATTTAATAGAACGCATGTTAGCCAAATATAAAGGCAATATGTTTTGTTACCATAGAGCACGCTTAACCAGCATTGTATCGTCAAAAACAACGTCGACAAAGTCTCTGAGACTTACTCTGCTTTTTAATTTATATATAGTTTGTGGAGTCTTCTCCAGTCATAATAACGTATCTGTAACACTTGATACCTAGTTTGCTCACAATTGTGCAAGCAGTTTGAACCAGATTGTCAAAGTTTTCACATTCTTTACAGCGAAACTCTATTAGTTCTGCCACAGTACTAGAGGAGCGCACACCGTCTTTTTTAAGTGCCCCGACAATTAAAAAAAATATGGTTGAGCTCTGAACACATTCATATGATGTTCAATTTTCTTTTTTCAGAGGAATATGAAAGGCAAAGAATTTCAAGTCCTTTGTGTTGTGATACTTTTGTTGTCCAACTGCCCCCTAGCGGGAGGTATATTGAATTTTATGAGTTTTACTTCTAAAAATATATTGAAATTTCTTATACTTTCATAACTTTAAAAAAGAGCTGAGCTATCTTTAATGTAAGCTGCTTCTCTACCACATTTCCCCT